TACCTGCTCAAATTAAGGGTAAATACACTTGATTTAAGAAATTTTTACTTAATTTCAGATTGTTTTTGCAGTGTATGCCAGGGGTCCCAGGTCTTTACACTGCAAAAACCATCTAAAAATGAGAAAATATGCCTTAAATTAAGTGTATTTACCATTAATTTGAGTAAGTAAATGGGATAATTTGCCAATGGAATTAGTATTTTTAGTCTTAAAATAAGATAATTAGATAATATGCACTTGAAATAAGACAATGCAACTGTGTTTTATTATTTTAAATGTAAATTGTCTTGTTCCATTGGCAAAGTGTCTCAATTACCTCCTCAATTCAAGAAGAAAATGCACTTATTGCAAGAAAAAACGACTTATGAAGATTTCAATTTTTTGAGGTGTAGACTACAAACTTTAGACATAGATTTATTTTTTCATTTTGTATACAAAAATAAGAGAGGAGCTACTCTTGGTCGCTAATAATAAACAATGGAAACAATAAAATGAAATAAGATTAAAAGATTGTAGCATCCAGAGGATGGGAATAAGTATCTGGGTGCTGGAATTAGAAATTTCTTTCTGAGTTTCCCCTGAATGGAGAGCTGGTCCTCACGTTTGTTCAGGAGGAAAGAGGAAGGCATGTCCCCAGATAAGAAATGAGGAATAACTCTGGAACCTTTGACTGCTTCCTGGATTTCACTTTGTGTTTCCATTTTATTTTCCTTCTGCAGGATTTTCCTTCATGGGTGTGATGATTTCATGTTTCTTTATCCATCTAATCATCTAGTTCACCTGTAACTTTCTGTTCTCCTTCAGTCACTGACTGATGCATCAGGTCCTCCATGCTCGGTGGCTGCTGTTTGAATGCTGGCTGTTCTACCAGTGAGAAAATGTGTGCACAGATCCGTTAGCGAGCTCTGCTTCATATTTTTGGTTGATTTTGTTTTCATTTTCATTTTCTTCGTCCGCCACCAACCATTGAGGACCGCCTCTTTTTTTTGTTCCTCCTCTCTAATTCTTTATCCCCTTCCACATAACTACCGATGCCTTTGCCCCCAACCTATCGCTTTAAAAGTACACGGTATGTCAAGTTTGACTCACCTGAGGAGACAAAGAAAAGAGCGAGGGGGCCATTGGGACAACACAAGAAGAAATAAAGTGATGTTTCGGGGTAAGCACAGTTTAGGAATAGTCCTGTACCTGTTTTCTCACCCTCCTTTCTGTTCTTTTCTTCTTCTTCTGTTCAGACATGTTTTTTTTTTCCCCCCCTTTTTTCCTTCGTTGTGTGTCTGTTTTGTGTGCTTGATGACTCCATCTTTCTTTTAAGTTCCCTGATTTGTTTGCATCTTCAGTGGTAAATTTTCCTTCAGAACCGAAGAGCCGAAACCTGTGGAGGTTCAGGCTGTTGTAGAATAGTCAGACAGTGTGTGCAATGCTTGTGCTGGTGACTTTGTGTTCCTTTAGCTGCTTCTTTGTGGGAGAAACGTTTCCGAATATTTTTTTCCCCTGATTTAGGGATGCTAATCTAATAAAGTAACATACTCAGCTAAAAAGCTTAAAAGCTCTACTGTCCTGTTAGGCATTTTCTCCAGTTTCTAACTAGTTAAGCAGATAGGTTCAGATTTACACCAATAACCCCCCCCAGCTTCTCTCCCCAGGCTCCTCCCCACATGATGTCTGACCAATCAGCTGCTGGCTTTAGATATGTGAAAGCATCCTCTGCTCTCTCATGTCTAATGTCTGTCAGGGAGGGGGAGGAGACAAAAACACCACGTTTATTAGACTTTCTTGATACGATAAATAAATAATTTAAGTCTTAAAAAAGAGTCCTTCTCAGCTCTTTAACCTCCTCTTCCTCCCTCTGTCTGATTGGTCTGTTGCAGTTGGAAGATGACAGACACCAACCACGGCCCAATCAACTGAGGAGGCTGGCCTCCTACGTCTTCTCCTCCTCCACCCTGGAGACGGAGCAGTACCCCCATGCAGGAGGCAGCTTCATCCAGAGGAGCCGCTCGGCCGAGAGCAGCCCCGCCCACGCCACCTCCGCCACCGCCTCGGCGCGGCGCCGGCATGCGGGCACTCTGCCGATGCCCGGCAGTCCCCGGAGCAGGCACTCGGTCCTGAACGTGTCGAGGTCGCAGCTGCAACAGATGTTAGCCAAGCTCATGAACAAGAACAGCAGCTGAGAGGACTGAGAGATGGACTCATGACACACGCCCGTATACCCTAAATTCTATTCAGTTTATTTCTATAGCGCCAATTCACAACACGTCATCTCAAGGCACTTTACAGTTCAACCGCATCATACAGTCAAACTGATTAAAAGTTTTCTATATAAGGAAAACCAGCTGATTGCATCGACTCATTGACTCGAATGCAATCCCTCACACTAAGCATGCTTGTAGCGACAGTGGAGAGGAAAAACTCCCTTTGAACAGGAAGAAACCTCCAGCAGAACCAGACGGTTAGGTACACACCTAAGGAGAGGAACATAGCACACAAAAACTCAGAAATGCAGGACTGGTCAGAGAGCGTCTTTAGGCTGGGGCAGAATTTTGCCACCCCGAACCCCCCTCCCCCCGCACAAACAGGAGCCTCATCCTTTAAAGTGACAAGGGAAACACTAAAGGAAAAATTAACATTTGATTGTACAACAACAAACCCCCAAATACATTGATTATAAGCTTATTTTTATTAGTATTACAACATTTTTTTTTTTCAATTAAGTTGCTTAGTTTTGTTTTATAATGTATTTTGCATTGACAGACATTTTGTGAATATAAAATAAGAATTCCAAAAAAGTAAAAAAACAATCCAATGGACTTTGTTTTGTTTTTCTAAGCCAAAACAAGGCTTTATTTTAGTCTACTCTATTAAGCCTGGGACTAAACCTAACCCGGCAAACCAACCGTTTCCATTATTTTAATGAAATAGAGAAAAGTTGTCGGCTAAAGCTCTACTAAAGCCCTGATTCCCAAAGTTAGGGTCCTTGATCCGCCAGTATTGGGTCTTGAGATCAACAACAGGACATAATCTAAACGATAAACTTATATTTTAAGTGCTTAAAAAACAATGAGATGATTTTCTAAGATGACATTTTTACCGTATTTCCTTAAATAAATGATAAAAAAATCTTACTCCCAGTATCAGATCCAGGTTTTGGTCACAGCAAGGTCCTGACAGGCCTGTAGTTGGCCTAGTTTTGGTGACCGTCGCTACAGATTTAGGCATTTTACATGAGCAGGGCAAAAACTTTATTGTGTTAATTCAACAAAATTTTACGTTTTATGTTTTTTTTTTTGTCATTCAGTGTTTGGGATATGCCCTGCTAAATAAAAGGTCTTAATTTAAGAAAACATCTAGCTAGATAATAAATAACAAACACCTTAAATATAAGACAAAAAACGACCCCCATTCCAAAGGGGTGGACCCGTTTGTCCGGTTCAATTTACATGTTTTCACTCTAAATCTTCAAACTCATTTATTTCTGATATTTGAATTGAAAAAGCTTCCTGGATGGGAAGCGAAACATCTTCAAACTTGGAAACAAAGTCCAGTGGTTTGTTTTTTTATTTTTTTGGAATGACGATGACCTGGATGACAGAGAATCTTCACCAGCTTAAAATAAGAATCTACATCAAGATTTAATTGCTTTTATCCAAAACAAGAAACAAATGTCCACATAACCTTTACAATTAATAAAACTGATAATGGTGAAAAAGTAAGAAAGAAATATAATATTTAGTTGTTGATTAAATAAAGGACTTGAGTTTAGTGGTGTTTTTATATATTTGCTGTTCTGCTCATTCTGGTATTAATATAACTAGCTAATTTTTAGCTGAATGGTTAGAATGATGTATTTTTTTACACCATAACTGTGAATTTCTCAGTCCAAAATATTCCCAAACAACAGGATTTGGTTTTCCTTTCAAGCAATGAAAAAAAGTAACTAGTATTGATTCAGCAAGATAATCTGGAGTGCACAGGAACGGGTGGGGGAGGGGCACAGTTAAACTAAAATTGACATGACAGGAAATCAGAGCAGACATAAAGCTGTAACCTTCCAAAAACCTGTTGGACCTTCATCCCGCTGACCAGCCCATGCAAAGCATGAATGCTTGAGTTAAATATAACATTTAACTAATAAGATTTGATTTTTATTTTTGCAAAGCCACCCCCCCCGGCCAGATCTGTAACAACATTCAAAAATATGAATATGCTCATTGGCTTAACAAACCAATGAAAACTCACAGCACTGAGAGCTAGATCACATAAGCCCTATCACAACACGCAGCAGCGCTGCTGGGTCAATAAACACACAGGTTCATACATCCACACACACGTAGCTCAAGATAAAGGATTTTTTTTTTTAAGAAGAAAAGGATTGAGGAAGAATCTTGAAGACTGAGGATATTTTTCATGCAATAAACTCCAGAAGCCACTCAGCAAAGCCGACGTTGCACACGCCACAGACCTGGCGGGCTGAGGAAAACAATGTGAATCTGAGGACTCCCCCTTCTGGGAAGTTAATGAGTTTGAAACCAAGTGGAGCTGCTAAGAGACTGTTAAGCTTTACAGTTTTTGTGCATTTTTTTTAAAATCCTGTCACCTTTTTTGGCTAGAACAGAGGAGCGATCGTAGAGGTATGCAGGTCGTCCCAGCGATCAAGCTTTTGCACGAAGACTTTGTGGAGTCCAACCATCCCGCTCAATGAGCAATACGCTGCTGCTGCTGCTTCACATCATGTCTTTATATGCACAAAACCCACCAATCCATGTGTCTCTTCCTGACTCCTTTCCTCATTAAATGTTGTCTGTGAAAAATGTTTAGAGAAAATCTTTTGGAAGTTGTAAAAAGTGATTTTAGCTAGATAAATGGAAGTAAAGCAGAACTTTAGGGCCCTAAAATTCAAAATTCTCAAAGTATCAAGAAACAAAAATCCTGACACTCTTAAAAACTGATTAGTAAGGAAGAATGCACACTGGCATTTAATATAATGTAAAAAAAAATAACTAAATAAATAATTTATCATGAGAATGAAAGAATCCATACCTTAAGTTTCTTTACAAAAAGAAAAATAGTAAAAATGGATCCTTTAAATCCCAAAAAATAAAATGAAAACAAAGACAAGATAACATTCTAAAAAGCTTGACAGCAAAAACAAAAATATACTTTTTGCAAGACTTCAAAAATATTACTACAAATTTGAAATGCAATGCAGCCCGGTTTCAATTGCTGATCACTTAGTAATTTATTTGCTTGTTTTTCTGACTTTTTGTATTTGAATTGTTTCAGTTTTAAAGTGTGCTGTGAAAGCAGTCTGTATGGGGCTGATGCTAACTGATAACATGGTGAATGGAGCTGCCACTACCTCACAGCAGGCTGCATGGGCAAAATCTAAATGGCACCAGGCTAACTCGAGTCAATGCTAACTGACAACAGGCTGTATGGGGCCAATGCTAACTAACAGCAGGCTGCGTGGGGCCAAAGCTAGCTGACAGCTGGATGTGTGGGACCAATGCTAACTGGTATGAGGCTGTGTGGTGCCGATGCTAACTCACAGCAGGCTGCTTGAGGCAGATGCTAACTCACAGCAGTCTGCTTGAGGCAGATGCTAACTCATAGCAGGCTGCTTGAGGCAGATGCTAACTCACAGCAGTCTGCTTGAGGAAGATGCTAACTAACAGCAGGCTGCTTGAGGCAGATGCTAACTGGCACCAGGCCATGTGGTGCCAATGCTAACTAGTAGCAGACTGCTTGAGGCCAATGTTAACTGACACCAGGCTGCTTTGAGCTGATGCTAAATAATAGCAGGCTGCTTGAGGCAGATGCTAACTAACAGCAGGCTGCTTGAGGCAGATGCTAACTGACAGCAGGCTGCTTGGACCTAATGCTAACTGACAGCAGGCTGCTCGAGGCAGATGCTAACTGGCACCAGGCCATGTGGTGCCAATGCTAGCTCGTAGCAGACTGCTTGAGGCCAATGCTAACTGACAGCAGGCTGCTTGAGGCAGATGCTAAAAGACAGCAGGCTGCTTGGACCTGATGCTAACTGACAGTGGGCTGCGTGGGGCCAATGCTAACTAACTGCAGGCTCTTTGATTCTGATGCTAGCTAACAGCAGGCTAAATGGGGCCAATGCTAACTGGCACCAGGCCACGTGGTGCCAGTGCTAACTCACAGCAGACTGTTTGAGGTCAATGCTAACTGACAGCCGGCTGCTTTGAGCTGATGCTAATTATGAGCAGGCTGCGTGGTGCCGATGCTAACTCATAGCAGGCTGCGTGGGGCCAATGTTAGCTGACATCACGCTGCATGGGGACAATGCTAACTAACAGCGGGCTGCATGTAGCCGATGCTTACTGACAGCAAGCTGTGCAGATCCAATGCTTACTATCAGTGGGCTGCGTTGGGGCAATGCTAGCTTACAGCACGCTGCATGGGATGAAGCTAACCAACAGCAGGGTTTATTGGTTAATGCTAAATAACAGGAGGCTGTATCGGACCGACGCTGATAGCAGGCTGTACTGAGCGGATGTTAACTGACAGCAGGCGGTTTATGTTAAATGTGGCTGATCTGAATGCGTACGCTATGAGCTATATTGTTAAATGTGACCTTTATGCCCGTAGGGGGCAGTGTGTCAAAGATGGTGCTTCTTTTCTACTGTAGATAAACAGATGATGTGCTGTAAGAGTTTCAGTAGAACTTTGATTGTCAAGTCCATGTTTTGAGAAGTTGGACTTGGACAAATATTTAATGAATGTCGTCAGTTTTTCTGTCCCTCACCGAAATGATCACTGTTCAAATACAAATACTTAACCTAAATGTAAAAAAGCAGACATTGTGGTACGTATCGACCTCTCTTTGGTGAGCCTTGCTTTCTTCTGTAGGAGTTTAAATGATAATTAAAATGATCCTAAAGCAGCAAGTTTGAGGTGTCCTCTGATAGATTCTTTTAGATGTCCTTTCTACTGTGAAAGAAACGTGAAGAACTGTTACTATTTTCCAGGTTTATCTCTCTTTGTTTGGTCAATTTTTTGTAGTAATAGTTTATTATGGACTTCAACTCACAAACACAACCAGTCACTGTATATACTATATTTAAAAACATTTTCTCATGCTATTAAATACTTAAATTAGTGTCAAATTTAAAAAATAATATCTATAAGTAGTTGGAGATATTACATGGTGCCTCTGAGGCTTTGTTCACGTGCTCTTAATATTTAGCAAAAGGGACATTTTAGGGGGGAAATCACATTTTAAAAACATTAACTGAAGTGGAAAAATGTTAAACATTTTAATGTCTAGTCTGAGAAAATGGGAGTGTTATGAATATAAGGTAGCGGCTTGACTTATTTATTCAATACTTTTCTTTGTATTGCTAAAATCTCTTTTATCACCACCTACTGGCACTCTAGGGTTACTGCAGCATTTTTTTCTTTATTTATAAAAAAANTTGAGGTCAATGCTAACTGACAGCCGGCTGCTTTGAGCTGATGCTAATTATGAGCAGGCTGCGTGGTGCCGATGCTAACTCATAGCAGGCTGCGTGGGGCCAATGTTAGCTGACATCACGCTGCATGGGGACAATGCTAACTAACAGCGGGCTGCATGTAGCCGATGCTTACTGACAGCAAGCTGTGCAGATCCAATGCTTACTATCAGTGGGCTGCGTTGGGGCAATGCTAGCTTACAGCACGCTGCATGGGATGAAGCTAACCAACAGCAGGGTTTATTGGTTAATGCTAAATAACAGGAGGCTGTATCGGACCGACGCTGATAGCAGGCTGTACTGAGCGGATGTTAACTGACAGCAGGCGGTTTATGTTAAATGTGGCTGATCTGAATGCGTACGCTATGAGCTATATTGTTAAATGTGACCTTTATGCCCGTAGGGGGCAGTGTGTCAAAGATGGTGCTTCTTTTCTACTGTAGATAAACAGATGATGTGCTGTAAGAGTTTCAGTAGAACTTTGATTGTCAAGTCCATGTTTTGAGAAGTTGGACTTGGACAAATATTTAATGAATGTCGTCAGTTTTTCTGTCCCTCACCGAAATGATCACTGTTCAAATACAAATACTTAACCTAAATGTAAAAAAGCAGACATTGTGGTACGTATCGACCTCTCTTTGGTGAGCCTTGCTTTCTTCTGTAGGAGTTTAAATGATAATTAAAATGATCCTAAAGCAGCAAGTTTGAGGTGTCCTCTGATAGATTCTTTTAGATGTCCTTTCTACTGTGAAAGAAACGTGAAGAACTGTTACTATTTTCCAGGTTTATCTCTCTTTGTTTGGTCAATTTTTTGTAGTAATAGTTTATTATGGACTTCAACTCACAAACACAACCAGTCACTGTATATACTATATTTAAAAACATTTTCTCATGCTATTAAATACTTAAATTAGTGTCAAATTTAAAAAATAATATCTATAAGTAGTTGGAGATATTACATGGTGCCTCTGAGGCTTTGTTCACGTGCTCTTAATATTTAGCAAAAGGGACATTTTAGGGGGGAAATCACATTTTAAAAACATTAACTGAAGTGGAAAAATGTTAAACATTTTAATGTCTAGTCTGAGAAAATGGGAGTGTTATGAATATAAGGTAGCGGCTTGACTTATTTATTCAATACTTTTCTTTGTATTGCTAAAATCTCTTTTATCACCACCTACTGGCACTCTAGGGTTACTGCAGCATTTTTTTCTTTATTTATAAAAAAACAAAAAAAACAAACAAAAAAACGTTTTTGTAACAATTGTGAGAACGGAAGAGGATTAGGGCCACTGGGAAAAAAAAAAGTTAACTGATTTTTAAATTTTATTTCAGTTTAACATGGGAAAAAAAGTCAAAATTCTGACTTTAATCTCACAATTCTGAATTTTTTCTCAGAATTCTGAATTTAATCTCAGAATTCTGACTTTTTTCTCAGAATTCTAACAGCTAACAAACATGTTAGCATCAAGCCATAGCCATGTCTGTTTTAGAGACTAGCTCTCTTGTTTTATTTGACCTTCTGCTCCTCTATTAATGAGGGGACCCCTCGGGCGCGTAAAACGTTGCCTAATTCCGTCATTTTTCACCAATGTGTCACTGGCCGCCTCAAACAACTCACATCTTTGTCAATGAAGCTGATCGCTCAACATCTCTACCTTCATGTTGCCCTTCTACTCTAAGATCCAAAATACTGTGATTAAAGTCAGAATTCTGAGAAAAAAAAGTTTTTTTACCCATGTTAAACTGAAATAAAATTTAAAAATCAGTTAACTTTTTTTTTCCAGTGGCCCTAATCCTCTTCCGTATGTGAGAGAATAAATGATGAGGATCGAAACAGTTTGTAGCAGTTACTCAGGACTTGGAAGCCATAAAGCTACATAAGGATTGAGGAAGCAGAGCTTTGATGCGTGATGCAGAACAGATGCAGTTTTTCTTTATGCTTTTGGTAAAGTTCTACCTTAAAAGTGAAGTTGTAGTGGAAAAAACTTCAGGAAAATCTTTTCTCTTTTTGCGATTCTTTAAAAAGCAGCTTGCATGTCTAGCTGATTGAATTCTTATCATCCTTGTGGTCGAGCAAATATTCCTTTCCTGGCAATATTGCATATATCATTATGACGTTGGCTGGGATTATGTGAATGTTGGGCAGATATTCTGTTGGTGTTCCTTCATTAGATAAGACATTTTTCCTTTTGGGTATGTTTTTAGGAGAGATTAAACAAATTATATGAAAACATCAATGTTTCCAAAGTAGTTTAAAAAGTTTATCTGCAAGAAAAAGTTGATTTTGGGGGTCAAGTTACTTTTCATGATCAAATTTGCCCCCGGTTCTTATAAGA